GGATAGATATCATTCAGAATGTCCCCTCTTCGCCAGTGTACAGCGACACTGCTGTGTAGCAATATAGACATGTATATGTTTGAGCATTATATAATGACACACCCACACACACACACATATATGTGTATAAGTATGTATAAGTTACAAAATGAAGACAAGATTTCACTGCCAGTTCACTTCACTGTTCACACAGACACACAGTTCAATTGCAGGCTATATGAGTCCCCTGTTGGTAAGGTAGACATCGGCCAGAGTTTCAGGTCCCCACTTGGCATGTTTTTTTAAAAATAAAAAAATGCATATTTAAAGTCATATTATGAAAAAAGACCTTAAAAGAGAATTTTGTACGTCATTTTTGTTTCTTCAAAATGACCAGAAACACTAGTCCCCTCTTGGCCAGTGTAGAGCGATAGTCCCCTTTTAGTAATATAGACGTGTATGTGTGTGTGTGTGTGTGTGTGTGTGTGTGTGTGTGTGTGTGTGTGAGTGTGTGACAGAAGTTTTACCTCTCGCTCTGTAACATTTGAAAAGCAGCACGACTGTCGCTAACAGATACGGAGAAGCTGCCAGAAGAAAACTGAGGATTTTGAGGACAGAAATCTGACCTGGAAAACAGAAAAACAAGAACATTATTGACCATTACAGAGCTTTCATGTTGCTCAAACCTGTACGGACTTCTTTCTTGTGTGAAACATAAAATATATTTTGTTGGAATTTTTTTCTTTTCTCTTTTCATTTTTCCAAATAACTGCTTATGTTCCACAGAAGAAAAAAAGGAATACATGTTTGGACTGCCATTAGGGTGAGTAAATGATGACATAATAGTGTATTAATAAATGAAGTTATTCATTTTAAAACATTCTCCTCTTCAGGACAAAACTGTATGTTTGACACTGAACACATATGATCAGATCACATCAGATTTATTCCTTGCTGCTTTCAAATGAAAAATGAATAAATCATTTATTCAAAGTCAGATGTTGATAGTAAAGTGGCGAACAAGTTTGATTTGATTTTATTATAATGCTGAAACACTCTAGACTTCATTGAATTGTGTTATGTTGTTTATAAGGTGTTGTTTTCACAAAATGTCAGTATTGTCACGATCACCAGCTGGAGTGCCCTTGATAGCCACCAGAGGGCCTTCATTACCCATAATCCTTTGCCCGGACTCATCAGCACTCATTGTTTTCAGCTGTGTCTCATTAACCCTGTTAGCTCACCCTTTATAAGCCTGGACAATTCAATATTTCATTACTAAATATTAAGTGTGTTTTATCTGCATTTCTGAGCCTCAGACCTGAACTCGGTTATTGTTTGTGTGTGTATGACCTTTTCCTATTTTTGGACTGCAATTGTGGATTGACCTTTCAATAAATACTGCATTTAAATCCTCAGCCTTTGTATCTCAAGCAAACATGACAAGTATATTTTGCCAGGGATGTGATGGTTATGCTTTCGTTCGTGTGAGTTATGTGAAACAATAAACACGGACGTCAATAACGGATTTTGTTCCAGCAGAAATAAGAGCCAGACACTGAGTAATATATAATAGTATATAATAATGGTGTGGCGTTTCTCATTAAATCATCTCACCATTAAAGGCTTCAGTGACTGAGATCCAGCTGTGGAGAGACTGTCCTCTCTCTGTTTTACAGGAGTAGAAACCCTCATGTGACTTTGAGACAGTAGTGATGCTCATCTCTCCTGTCGTCTGATTCTGGATCAGTGATCCGTCTTTATAGAAATCAGCGCTGGAGATCGAGGAGTTTGTAGATCGATGTAAACAGTGTAGAGTCAGAGTCTCTCCCTCAATCACAGGATCAACAGAACTCGCCAGAATCACCTCACCGTCTACAAACACGAGATATGTGTGTTTAATAGAAGAATATAGCAAAACAATACATGAGAAAAATACCGATATGATGAATTGATTATACTTCGTACTTCCTGAGCTTTTTATATTAGTGAAGACTAAAAATGTATTGTTTTTTGTTGTTTTTTCTAGTGTTATTTATCTTTATTAATCTCATAATGTATTTTGTGAAGTCAGAGTTTGTTTGCTGTAAGCTAAGGAGAGATTTGGGATGAGATATATTTTGGTAAACAACATACAGTGTGTTCACTGAGCAAAGGTTTTCCACTGATGATGTACTTTACTGTGTTCAGTTGGCCTTTTCTTTATAAGGAAATGAATGTTTTTCAACTGATGCAAATGTACCACACATGTACACACCGATGGACCGTTTCTTAATATGGAAATTGGATCGTACCGTGTGTAAGCATGAGGTATACGTTACATTTTAAACATAAGCAACATGTTTTTCTACCTTACAGGGAAGGTGTAAGTCCCTCAGTTGTGAATATAAGCTCAATCATTATTGTGTAACCCCAGAGAAACACATAAAGGCATAATGAGTTGAGAGATGGGGAGAAAGGACAGAGAAATGGAGAACTGAGAAATCTGGAATGAAGACGACCTCGCCTGTAACCTTCCTCTCAAAATAATACAATAAAAAAATTGTAAATTTTGTGTAAAAATAATAAATAAGAGATCTCTTGGTAAAGTAACTGGTGTAGCTTCTGTGATTCAACCATAACGGGGAAAAGCATGATGTTCAAATCTACAAACCCGATCTCATGAGTAAACCGGACTCACCGTGTACAGTGATGTTTCGAGGACGGCGTTTCTCTCCAGATTCAGACTCACACCAGTACACTCCAGAGTCAGATGTGCTGAGAGAGTCGATTACACATCGAGATCCTGTTTGTTTGGCACAGGTTTGTGTGTGTGTGTCTGTGTATCTTCTCACTGTCCATCCAGCAGAGTTACTCTGATCCACACAGCTCAGAGAGAGAGACTGAGATGAGAAGTGTTGACTTCTGCTGGGATCGATGACCAGAGACACTGAAGCAGAAACTCCTGAAAAGAGGAAAATCTCCATCAGAACTGACAGCACAGAGACTGCAGTGAAACACAGATGCGGATGAGCACAAGCAGAAACCCTCACCAGTGAGCCACAGTGTGTGTGAGCTGCTGTTGTGTGTGTAATAGGCTGGTCGTCCTCTCTCTGCTCTGCACGTATAAACTCCTGTGTGCTGTAGAGCAGCAGGACTGAGAGTGTAAGATCCTCCAGCTCCTCTGCTGCTGTCTGACAGATGATCATGATCTCTGAACCAGCTGAACGTCCAGCCTGTAGAGGAGCCTGAAACCTCACAGATCAGAGTCACTGATTCTCCTTCAGTCAGCCACGGCTGTGGAGACACTCGCAGTGATGCCTGAGCTTCAGCTGAACAAAACATCACGAGTTACAGAGCCGTAGAGAAACTGATGGAGAAGCTGATCACAACACACACACACACACACACACACACACACACACACACACAAACACACTCACACACTCACACACACACACACACACACACACACTCACCTGAGACAGTCAGTGTAACAGCGTCACTGATGCGTGATCTCTGTGAGTCTGATGTCTCTCCTCTACAACTGTAATTACCGCTGTGAAAGAGATCGACACTGCTGATGATCAACTCATGTGTTGAGCACCGACTGACAGCATTTCTGTGTGTCTGTTTATCAGCTCCAGTGCAGCAGTGTTGTTCTGTACATCGACTGGCAGAGTTTCTATCCCAGTTGTTGGTTGCATTTAGATCCCATCTGTATGTCCACTCAGTGTCTCCTGCCCACTTTATATCACATCTGAGAGTGACTGTTTCTCCTCTAAACACTCGTTCATCAGGTCGTACCGTCACCACAGCTTTAGGACTCACTGTACAAACACAGATTATTGCATTTATAGTTTCAGAAGTTGTGTAGATATTGTCTCTGATCTGTATTTGTTGCATCACACACTACAGTCTCTCTCACCTGTAACATTTACCCACAGTGCATCACTGTATTGTGTGTAATAGACTGGTTTCCCTCTTCCAGCTCTACACCAGTACTGGCCTCCATCAGACACTGAATCAATCTTCAGGCTGTAGGAGTGTGTTTGTGTCTTCTCTGTCTCGGGGTTCAGTGTGTGTTTGTACCAGTAAATGTCCCAGTCTCTGGTTAGATTCATGTGACAGGTCAAAGTCACTGTGTTTCCAGTCAGTGCAGCTCCTGCAGGATCTGATGTGAGTTCAGGCTTCGGCTGTAGATCTGCAGGAGAACAACAACAGATTCAGATCCTCCAGAGTCAGAGTTCACCTGTGTTACACAAATCATTCAGTGTTTGTCTCCAACTACATAAATAAAATGGTTCAGTTTTGTTCTAATGAGAGGGTGTGTGAGATTAAATGATTACAATTTTCATTCTCAGGTGAGCTAATGTTGAAACTTTGGTGTGAGTGTCAGATAAAATACTTCTTAAATCTAATGTTTCATGAACTGTAAATCATAATCAGATACAAAACGATGAAACTTCTGAAAACCAAAGCTGCATTTGTATAAAGAGTCACAAATTCTCAGAAAGTGCAAGCAGCAATAAATAAATAAATAAAAATACATATAGAAATGTTTTATGTTTATTAAAAAACTTGGAGGACAATGATGTTGAACTCACCCTTTACAGAGAGAGAAACAGCAGAGCTTGATGTTGATGAGTCTGGTTCTCCGTCTATCTGTCCTTTACACCAGTACTGACCCTGATCAGACCCAGTAGCTCCTCTGATAGTGACAGTGTCTCTGTTTACTGTGTAACGATCAGACTTCTGTAATATTACACTGTCTTTATACCACTCATATCTCCAGTTACTGTGATAAGGTTTTATCACACACTTCAGATTGACTGTTTCTCCAGTGAATACAGGACCGGCTGGTGTCACAGTCACTGTAGATGTGGGTAAACCTGAGAAGAAACACAGAAACACAAACTGACTCAAACATCTCTTTCAGTGCAATGTAACAGAATTATATTTTATAAATGTTTTGAGGAAGTTGAAGATCTCAATGATGAAGTGTTTTTGCAGCAACAGTGACTGTAGCTGAAGCGCACAACTACTATAATTATATGCTGATTGAGGCGGCCAAATATGGACGGGATTCCGGTCAGAGAATCAGGGAGCGGAGAGAAGATTCTTCACAGAGATGTTTTATTAGTCATCTGGATTAGTTATTCATTGGCAATGAAGTCTGTATTAATGGTATCAAGTCATAAACGCATTAAACAAACATGAATAAGCGTGCTGAGGTGAACATTCCCCATGACAGTCTTCCTGTGTGTACCACTATAACCAGTCCGTGTAGCAACGACTTCTATTTCCAAGACAGGCTTTCGTACAAGTGACAAAAGTGCATTAAAGCTCCTGCGTTCATCAGAGTCAGAATAAACCCAGAATAATCTCTGCTCAAACATTATATACTGTATCCACAAGTTTCCGAGGGGCGCTCCTGTAAAAAATAAAGTGGGTGAAACTTCCGGTGACGCGGCGGAAGTAGCATTCCAATGGTGTTTTGTGTATTAGTTAGCGAAGAGGCTAGCTGTTTTTCGGAGAATTATTTTACCTCCCAAAAGACGACGAATCTTCCTGTGTACATTTGTTTAAATTCTTAATATTCTATAAACTTTTATCAGCATGTGTTTGGCTGTTCTCTACTGATGTTGCACCTAAACTCAGGATCAGAGCCTGTGTTGACAGAATACCAAATGTGCCAGTTAATGTATTCAAGTAGCACATTCATTTATAATTTTGAATAAACTCCAAAGCACAATGACTAAGTGTGTATTTTTTATTTTAATTGTTTGTCAGCTCGCACAACTGTCTGTCTCCATGCCTTGATGAGTATTGATAATTAATAATGTTATTATAATACTCCCAATCAACTACTGCGGAGGGTAAAGGTACTGTTATTTCACCTTTTTAAATTTCGTTGAGGTTGTGTTCCCACATCGTTAGCTAGTTTGGATCGCTATAACTTGAATGACTGTCAACTGTTGAATGAACGAGTGTCAAGCATGTCAAATCGTGCTTTGTTTACTTCCAACCGGAAGTCGCGCCCACTTTTGACGCAAGGCCTCATGGGGCGTAGGAAACTTGTGGATAACATTCTTCCTCCAGCTCTACATGTAAATGAAGTTTAGTCTTAAAAGTAAATTAAGGATAACAATGAAACTGAAAGCCTTCCGTTCCCACATCATTGATATTGTTTGAGACGGGACTCCATGTGTCCTTCATGTATCTTCTGAACACAGGATTATTCTTGACGTCCCGCTGCCGTTTCACACTAGAAGTGATCGAGTTTCACTCCGCTGATATTCACATGAGATCAGGACCCTGCTGAAAAATCCAGCTAAAACCAGCCTAGGCTGGTTGGCTGGTCTTAGCTGGTTTAAGCTGGAAGTAGCTGGTTTTAGTTGGTCACCCAGCCTGGCTTAGCTGGTCAAGCTGGTCTCCCAGCCTGACTTAGCTGGTCTCCCAGCCTGGCTACCAACTTGACCAGCTAAGACCAGCCTGACCAGCTGAAAAAGTGTTCAAAACCCCTCTAAAACCAGCCTGATAAACCAACTAACCAGGCTGGGAGACCAACCAAAACCAGCCAACCAGCCTTGGCCGGTTTTAGCTGGATTTTTCAGCAGGGGAGGAATCATCTTTATGATAATTAAGAAATATATTCTAATATTGATGTTGAAGCTGATTCAGGCAGACTAACATGATGAGTCATGATGATTTTGTCTCATATTTCATAGTATTAGTTGTGTTTTGTTGCTGTTCTGTCATTAGTTTTATCATGTCAGTTGTTTTGAGGCTCTGACTCGCCACAGAAAGCAGAATGAAGCTCCTGAAGGAGAGATGAAGATCTCCAACTAAAGCTCATATGAGGAGATACTGAGTCTGAATCAACTTCATCAGAATATCTGAAGACTTCATCAACTCATTTCACATCAGTGTCTGTAAGTCACGTCATTCTCTCGGACAAATCTCATCTTTTCTATTATTAAATATCTCCTGTCACCAAACTAACAGTGACTAAAGTAAATCTCAAAGATGGAGACGTCTTTAACACTGGGAAATCACAATTTACATGATTTTATAAAAGTATCCTGATAAAAATGTGCAACACACACTCACACACACACACACACACACGACAAACATGTCATGCACTTCATCTGAAGACAATCATGACTAAAAGTGAATTGCTTATAAGAACAGACGTGGCTGATACAGAAGATCATAAGTGTTGAAATATGGATATTAAATGATGATTAAACAGATGTGAATATGAAGACTCACCTGATACAGTCAGTGTAAGAGCATCACTCTCTGTGTATGAGTCTGATCTCTCTCCTCTACAACTGTATTTACCACTGAGAGACACATCAGCTGTGAAACTGTAATATGCTGTTGTTGTTGTTATATTTGGATTGCCAGTGTTTCCATCTCTAATCCATCTGTATGTCCACTGAATGTTTCCTCCTCCCTGTATGTCACATGTGAGAGTGACTCTCTCTCCTCTGAACACACGCTGATCTGGCCTCACCTTCACTACAGGTTTTCCTGTATTAATACACAAATGAGTAAATATTGATTAAAACAGAATCACAGTATCATGATCAATGTTAGTGTTTATGAACTCAAAACCTCCTTATGAGACAAAGACTGTGTTAAAAAATGAAATATCTAGTTTGTTGGAAGTTTGTATTGATTACATACATTTTTTTATTTATTGATAGACTATATACAGATAAACTTTGTATAAACTAAAAGACTGGGTATAGAATGCCACACATGTAAACCGAGTCTATAATACATATTACTTATACTTCTATTTACATGTCACAGAATTACAGCTTGTGCAATATTTATAAATCTTACATAATTTAAGAGTATAAAAATTTTACTGACTTAAACATGCAATGTGATGAGGTCATGAGCCAAAGTAACATAATACAGTTCAATAATATACTGTGGTAAAAACTGCTGGGTTAGAAACAACCCAGTTTAGCAGCTGATTGGGCTAAATGTTTTTTAATCTAATTATTGGAGTAAAATTCCTACATTTCTGGATTAAGATTAACCCAAAATAATTTGAAAATAAAACCAGGAATCTTGGGCATTATTAAATCACTTTACACACACAGAATGACTATCAGAAGGTACAATTTGATTAAAAATGAGAATAAGGACAAACATAGTCAAAAGTAACCAGTGTTGTTAACTGTGTGCTCTCAATATGCATTATTTATTTATTTATTTATTTTTCTTTTCTTTACTATTGATTGTTTACGTATAATGAATGAAATTGCACGTGATGAGTAATGGAGGTGTGAACATTTGTGATTGGTTGTTTAATGAATAAAATCACCTTGAGTGAGCACAGCTGTAGCTGTGTGTGTTGCAAACCAGATACGTTGTTGCGTTTTACTCTGTGAACAGGTTATGGGCCCAGTCTGTCAGGAAGTCAAGCGATTGTTTTAGTAGAGCCATGAGTAGGCCTAACGCCAGAAAAACGGAACATAGCGGTCGCTGGTCGCGGCTACTGTTCGACGGAGATGAAAAGAATTATGAACTTTGGGAAGTTAAGTTTTTGGGCCACCTCCGGTTGCAAGGCCTGAAAGAGATAATTACTACAGAATCAGCAGGTGTGGAGACACTGGAAGAAGCTGCTTCAAATGCCGAGGCATATGCAGAATTAATCCAGTTCTTGGACGATAAAAGTTTGTCGCTTGTAATGCGAGAAGCAGCCGACGATGGGCGCGCAGCGCTAAAGATTTTGAGAGACTACTACGCAGGTAAAGGAAAGCCACAAGTAATAAGCCTGTATACTGAGATAACCTCGCTTCAAAAATCAAGCAGCGAGAGTGTGACTGAATATGTTATCCGTGCTGAAACTGCTATCACGGCTTTACAAAATGCTGGAGAGACTTTGAGTGACGGGCTGCTGGTGGCTATGGTTCTAAAGGGGCTTCCTGAGACTTTCAAACAGTTTGCCATCCACATAACGCAATCGGATGACAAGATTACGTTTGCTGAATTTAAAACAAAGCTTCGGAGCTACGAGGACATCGAAAAGATGCGTGCTCCAGTTGGAGGATAATGTGATGACTGTGCAGACAAAACAGTGGCCTGCGAGACCCACCAGTGCTGGCTCAACTGAACGGGCTGCAGCGGATGTGATGTGCTACAGATGCGGTCTGAAGGGACACATTGCCCGCGCTTGCCGGCGCAAACTGTGGTGCAGCCACTGTAAGAGTAATACTCATCGCGACGTAAACTGCAGGAGGAGACGGCGCCATGACGCGACATGGAGGGCTACCGAGGAAGCCACTGATGAGTATGTTTTCAGGGTGACCGATGGAGAGGCAGGATTCCAGCCAAACAACAAGGGTGTCGACGTGAGGGGCTTGATGGTCGACTGCGGGGCAACCTCGCATATCGTCACCGACATCTCCAAGTTCAAAAAGTTTGATGATGAGTTCCAGGCAGCGACTCATTACATGGAGCTAGCTGACGGCACAAGGTGTAAGGGAGTAGCAGAGCGCAGAGGTGACGCTGAGGTATTCTTGGTGGACAATCGTGGACGCCACCTAAAGACAACGCTGAGACGTGCGCTGTACATTCCCTCATACCCACAGGACATATTTTCAGTGCAAGCAGCGGCTTCCAGTGGAGCAAGCGTGACGTTCAGGAAAGGTGAAGATATTCTGGTGCACAATGACGGTACAAAATTTCCCATTCATTTACATGAGAGATTATATTATTTGCAGACTGTATCTGATGGATGTGATGACCAAATGAATGGATGTTATGATTTAAAAACATGGCATGAGATACTGGGACACTGTAATTTTGATGATGTGCAAAGATTAGAAGGTGTTGTTGATGGTATGAAAATTGAAGGTTCATCAAACAAACCTATAACTTGTGAAGTGTGTACCCGAGGCAAGTTTACACAGTCCAGAAACAGAAAGCCTGATGTAAGAGCTAATAAGCCTCTAGAGCTAGTGCACGCAGATTTGGCCGGTCCAATTAACCCAGAGTCCAGAGAGGGATATAAATATGTTTTGTCATTTACTGATGATTATACTAGTGCCGTGTTTGTATATAGTCTTAAAAGTAAAAGTGACACACTACAAGCAACGGAAAGGTTTCTTGCTGATATGGCACCATATGGTAAAATTCAACGTCTTCGATCTGATAACGGCACTGAGTTTATTGCAAAGCAATTCAAAGCTCTGTTGGTTAAGAATGGTGTAAGACACGAGACTTCTGCACCATATTCTCCCCACCAAAATGGTACAGCAGAGCGAAATTGGCGTACACTTTTTGACATGGCACGATGTATGCTGATAGAGAGTGAGTTACCTAAAAATGTATGGCCTTTTGCAGTGCAGACCGCAGCCATAATCAGGAACAGGTGCTTTAACAACCGCACCAAACTTACACCAGTTCAGATGCTAACAGGGAGACGACCCAATCTTGCTAAGATGCAAAAGTTTGGTTCAGAGTGTTTCGCTTATGAGCAAGACAAAAGAAAGCTAGATCCAAGAAGTCAAAAGGGTGTGTTTATTGGTTATGATAAAAGCAGTCCAGCATACATTGTCTATTTCCCTGAGAGCAGGAAAGTACAAAAGCACAGGTTAGTTAAGTTTCTTTCTAAGACCTGTGTTGAACAACAGACTCAGACTACCATTGATGATGATGATGATGATGATGATGTTTTGAAGCAGAGAACTAGGCAGGATGTAAATTCAAGTCTAGCAAATGACCAGGTTTCAGTCAAAGAGGAGGAGCGGAGTAGTCCTCAGACCCAATCAGTTGAAGCTATTCCTGAGCCTTCAAGATACCCTTCTAGAGTGAGGAAGAAGCCAAGCTATTTACGTGACTATGTTTCTCAACAGGCATCTGATGAGGAAACTGATCAGGTGCAGATCAACGTAGATTACTGTTATAGAGTGACATGTAATATACCTGTAACTTTTACAGAAGCTCTAAACTCAGACAGATCAAATGAGTGGGTCACTGCAATGGATGAGGAGATTCAATCACTTAGAGAAAATCACACATTTACCCTAAGTAGTTTGCCCGAGGGAAAGAAAGTAGTGGGGGGCAGATGGGTTTATGCGATTAAGAATAACATAGATGGATCTGAAAAGTGCAAAGCACGTTATGTAGCCAAGGGATACAGTCAGAAGAGAGGTGTTGATTATGAAGAGACTTTTTCCCCTACAGCTAACTTGACTAGTATCCGAGTGATAATACAAAAAGCAGTACAGGAAAACTTGATTCTGCACCATATGGATGTAAAAACTGCCTATCTGAACGCACCAATAGATCATGAAATTTACATAGAACAACCAGAAGGTTATGAAGTAAAATCTGACACAAATGAAAAATTGGTTTGTAGATTGGAGAGGTCATTGTATGGGTTAAAGCAGTCGGGCAGAAACTGGAACAAGGTACTACATGACTACTTGACCAGTAACCACTTTGTGCAAAATCAAGCTGACAATTGTGTGTATACATGGGAAACTGCTAAAGAAAAAGTGATCATTGTAATATGGGTTGACGATTTGTTGATTGTGGCAAGTGATGAAAATGTTCTGAGACGTGTGAAGGACATGCTTACCGAAAGATTCCAAATGAAAGACTTGGGCAAATTGAGGCATTTTTTAGGTGTTGATTTTGACCAGAGTGACAGCTGTGTGAGAATGTCACAAGCAAAATATGTGACAAAAATATTGCAAAGGTTTAACATGCAGGATTGCAAACCTAGATCAACTCCTTGTGAACAAAAACTTGACTATAACAATGATGCTGAAAAGATGATTGATGTGAAAAAATATAGAGAGGCAGTGGGAAGCCTCATCTATTTGACCATCTGTACTAGAGTTGATCTAAGTTTTGTTGTAAGCAAACTGTCACAATATTTCACAGAACCAACTGTTGAACAATGGTCCACAGTTAAACAGGTACTAAGGTATCTTAAAGGCACAATTGACAAAGAACTGTGTTACAGAAAATGTAATGAGACACTGAGAATAAGAGCATACAGTGATGCAGACTGGGCAGCTAGTAATGACAGACGTAGTACAACTGGCTATTGTGTAAGTTTGACTAAAGGTGGTGCTTTGATTTCATGGAAAACAAAGAAACAGCCAACTGTCGCACTGTCCACCTGTGAGGCAGAGTATATAGCCCTAGCCACAACCATACAGGAATGTCTCTATTAAACAACTGTTGAAAGATCTTGATAAATGTCAGTACTCGCAACCTGAAATCTATGAGGATAACCAAGGTACAATCGCCTTAGCAAAAAATCCTGTGAGCAGGCAAAGATGCAAACATGTAGACGTCAAGTACCATTTTATTAGGTCTTCTGTAAATAATGGTGACATTGCATTAGTGTATTGTCCCACTAATGAGATGGTAGCAGATGTGTTGACAAAGCCTGTAACCAGGTGCAAGATGATGAAGTTTGATGAATTCATTTTTGGAAAATGATGCATTCAATGTTAACAATGTGAGAGCAAGTGGGGGTGTTAACTGTGTGCTCT